ATTGTTTCATCCTTATTGTATCGAATTTCATCACATCATTTTGGTTCCAAAGGACATTTTAAAATATGATAAAGCTGCAAGGATTCAAATTTCATAAAATTAATTAATCCACACATCATCCACAGCTTTAATATTAAAGCCTCATCCAACCAAGTAGAAGATTTGAGTTTAAAGAATGAATTTTAACACTTCATATTTCATTCAGCACAGCTACTAATAATCCACAAGAGCAAAAAATAAATTTCCATGCATTTTAATGACTATAGAACAACCCCAACGTATAAAATTTATGATGAAAGTATCTGAAAGTGATTAGGTGCTTTGCATGAAAATGATTTATTTGCCAAAAGAATGGAAAAAAAAGGTAAGGCATATTGTGTAAACAAACATAAATCCTCTTAGCTGTTACTTCAAGCATATACTCAATGATGTGAGAGAAAAAAGCTTTATTTAGTCATAATAATGAGTGAAGAATGGGAAAAAATTTGGTAAAGAAAAGAATAATGAATGAAATTACGACATGTGCTGATACTTCCTTAAATTTTTTGAAATTTGAGCTGAAAAACTTTTATTAAAAAATTTTAAAATTTGAATTTTCAAAAACTGTCAACGATTTGAATGTTAAAAAATCCTTAAAGCTTGAATTTTTAAAACCCTTAAAATTTGAATATTTAAAACCCGTTAAAGCTTGAATAATATTTTAAGCATGTAATTGAAGTTAATTTGACTAAGGTTTTTGTGCCATTTTAAAAAGTTTAAATACATTTAAAATGGCTTTTCCTTATGATAGATAAATAAAATAATAATAATAAAAATAAATAATAATGAAAAATTAAAAACCTTTTAAAATTTGATTTAATAAAACGGTTAAAATCTGAATTTTTAAAAACCGTTAAATTTAAAGTTTTTTAAACCTATTAAAATTTGAAATTTTCAAAACCGTTAAAAATTGAATTTTTATATTCACACCGTTTTCACGTGTGAATCTATTGGTTTTGTTCAGATTGAAAAAATCAGTTTTTCGCATTTTGTGAGAAAACAAAGCAAAATTGGTTATAAAAGGGCAAGAAGAAAAGTTTGTGCCTGAAATTTTACATCATTTTCAAAAAACAGATTTCAAATTGGTTGTGGCATTGCTGAGAAAATCGCAAAATACGCTTTCTGTAAGCAAACAAGCAAGCAAGCAAGTTAATGAGCAAGAAATCTCAATAACGAGACATCGTAGAGACTTCTAGTTTTTTACATTTAATCCGTGCTGCTCTATAGAAGAGCTGTATGGTTTTTGGGTAAGGTAGGAACAGCCGTTGCTTCAGAAATGGCAAACAACTTTCCTTTCTTACGAATTTTTTAAAACAAAAGTTGACTGTGATTTTTATAAAATTCAACTTTGGATGAAAATTTTTTTTAAAAAACTTTTAAAGAATATTTGGCATATTCGTCAAGCTTTATACCTTCAAACTTATGCTGAGCGTAGCTCAGCTGACTCGATAGCTTTATATCTTCAAACTTATGCTGAGCGTAGCTCAGCTGACACTCTAGCTTTATATCTTCAAACTTATGCTGAGCGTAGCTCAGCTTACGCGATAGCTTTATAACTTCAAACTTATGCTGAGCGTAGCTCAGCTGACACTCTAGCTTTATATCTTCAAACTTATGCTGAGCGTAGCTCAGCTTACGCGATAGCTTTATAACTTCAAACTTATGCTGAGCGTAGCTCAGCTGACACTCTAGCTTTATATCTTCAAACTTATGCTGAGCGTAGCTCAGCTTACGCGATAGCTTTATAACTTCAAACTTATGCTGAGCGAAGCTTAGTTGACTTATCAAGCTTCATACCTCCATACTACTGATGGGCAAATCTTGGTCTATCCATAAGACTTATGATAGTACGGTGTGAATATAATCCGCATTGGGTTTCTACCCGATACACTAGTTTTTTTAAAAAATGAAATTTAAATGCATTCTTTGGGTTTGACAGTGCTATAAACTTCAAAGTTATAATCATCCCCATTAAAATTTAAAAAAATATATTCATGCAAAATCTGAAAAGTTTATTTTTACATAATTCAGCTCTGTAACATCAAAGACGATGTCTTTCCTTTGGCGATAGCATGGTAAAAAAAAGTATTCAAAACTTTTCTACTTCCAGTTTAGAACCTTGTGCTTGAAAGGTAGCACAAATCAAATAAAATCAGAATCTTCTTCATGCTGCACAGTCTTCAATATGTTTTCATATTCTTAAAAATCTACCTTTTTAAAAGTTTTTCCAAGAAATTACATGACCTTATGCTTTTTTTTCGGGCTATAAGCTTCTTAAAAATATTTTTCATGTAGAAAATTTTACTTCTCTTTTAAAACAAAGCACAGCATAACAAGAACCATCTTCAAGATTAAATAAAAAGAAGGAAAAATGGTAAATTTGTCTTTAAAATTTATGGCATGAAAAACTTTTCCCATCATGGACTTGTTGATGAGCATGATGACGTCTTAAAATAAGTTTTCATAGTTTTATGTTTTTTTTTTCTTGTTTTGTCCGGGAAAAATGTTTGCAGCAACATGGCATGACATAAGGAGGACTTAGTGTTGTGCTTAAAGTTTAATTATATATTTAAAGTTCTACATGGATGGTCGTAAAATCATATTAAGTTGCTCTGTGCATTTTAAATTATTGAAATTTTAAGTTTGAATTTTTTTAAAAAAAATTTGAATTTAAAAAAACCGTTAGAAATTTGAATTTCAAAATGTTGTTAAAAATTTGAATTTCAAAATGTCGTTAAAAATTTGAATATCAAAAACCCGATAAAATTTGAATTTTTAAAAAACCGTTAAAAATTTGACTTTACCATGTGCACAGCCTGATCTACATACACAAATATGGTTATTATTTATCAATCTCCATTATCTTAAACAAGTACTTGACAATTCTTTACCAAATTCAGCGATTCTTATTGATAAGACACGCTGAAGTAGTAGAATTGCGAACATAAACGTACAAATATGGCAATCATTTAAGTATTGTCAATTTTATCTCATCCAAAACTGCAAAATGCTCAAATTTAGTGACATAAAAAGAGTAAAAAGATCTTAAATTGACTATAAATTGAAGGGGAACCTAAGCATGTGAGAGCATACAGTAAATAAACTAGTCTTATCTCATTATTATCATTATAAAATATTTTTTTAAGAAAACTTCGTATAAATTTGTGTGAGCTGAGAATTTAAGCTAGTAATCAGTCTAAAGTGATCATTCAATTGAACTGGACGTAGATTTTATTTAAACGAGGTCAGAGTCGGTGTCTTGTGTGCCATAAAAGGAGATAGTTTTGAGGAAAAAGTGGTTTCTTAATGAGATAAATTTTGTGCACACTTCAAGGACGAAAATGTAAATTATTTTACATTTAAAACATTTTAATTTAATTTTTTTAAACTTTTTTAAATTAGAGAAAGTTAAAAAAACCAAATTATTGAAATCTTTTGTGATTCTTAAATTTAAAAAATTTTAAAATTCTTAGAAATTCAAAATTTAAAATCCATAAAATTAAAAAATTAAATATTCAAAGTTAAACAAAATCTGACAAAATTTCCCCAAGTGCAAATATTTGCAAACTCACTCACAAGTTCCACCTTTGATCTCATAAATTCCATCAAACATTTCCATCAAACTTAAAATGAGGAAATAATTTTACAAATTCAAACAAAATAATCAAATAGAGAAAATTAAATTCCAAGAAACTTCATTAGAGACAATAAAGCATGTAGCTCATCTGTTTCAATCATATTAAGCTCAATTTAGACCTTGAGAGACATTTCACGAATCTTATCGTTCAGATATCGCGATGAACTTGAAATACACAGTAGTTGAAATAAAAAGAATAAAGATTAACTGTATGTGGATATGCTCAGAAAATTTTCGTTTATTAAATTTCATTGACCTTTCACATCTGTGCATTTGGACAAGTGCAGGGTTATCCAACCTTTGTCACTTGGCAACTCTCAACTATTTTATGCACATCCGAGCTTCCTCAATCAAAAACTCGAATTGCACAAGTCAGTTAATCGATCAGAAATCCGATATTAATGCAGTGTGACTCGGGCATGGTGCTGGGTTTAAATCGAAGCCTGCTTTTCAAATAAGTGCCATGCAGCAGAGTATAAGTTATTCACAACAGCACCAGTGTGTCTAGGGGCATAGCTCAGTACCACAGCACAGTCAAAATGTGATTGGTTATTTAGTAGAGTATATTGTCAGTTTCAGAAGCTTAGTCGGGTATATTAGGCTTAAGCATGTATGTTGTCAGGGATGTTATAGGGAGCCAGACTTCTCCTACTTCTTGTTTATGGAAAATGACATGGAATTTTAAAAATGACTGAGAACCTTCAGTCATATTGATAAATATCTAGCAGTAGTCTTGCTATTAAGAGTATGCTTTCCCGATACCGAAGTCGCGAACGATACTTCCCGGGAAAGTCTCGGTCTCGTCTCGTCTCGGTATCGTTCTCGTTCTCGAGAATTAGTCGGGACGATGAATCAAGATAGCATAATTAAGAGAACCCTAGTAGGGACGTACACAGAATCAAAAGGGAAGAGGAAGGAATTGGTGATTTTTAAGATTTTTTCATAAAAACCTTAACAAAATGATGAACTTCCTGTTGAAGTAAGACGATTTGTCACCAAAATCCCCCCTCCTTCTGACGCGCTTTCCTAGAAGTTCTTTGCTCTGATTCCATAATGTTATTACCCATTGTTGTAATAAGCATCCTCGAACATCATTAAAGACTCCCATAAATCTATTTCTAATTTTAAAAATATTTTGATAACAAATCTTGGTACTTAAAACGTGCAAATATAAATAATAAGATAGTACATTTGTTATCCTACCCAACTATTTGCTCTAATTAAAGCTATCACACAAATATTCTCATTTCCACGTGTCATAATATTCTTCGCTAATCCCTACAAAGAAAATCTACTAAGAACAATATTTCCTTATTATTTACAGAACAACAGATAAAAGTCATAAAACAAAAGCCATAAAAAAATTTATTTGCGTACCTTATAAAGGTAGTCTAAGCAGCTTTAAGATATTCATCAAAAATTTGTGCAAATAATTATTATCAAGTGTCTAACAACCTACCAATAAATCTACCGACTCTACCTTGAATATAGTAACTATAGTAAACACAAAAATCTACGAATAAAATGTCTGAGGATGGTGAGAATGCAGCATTTGATAAAATTATGGAACTCGTGGGAAATGATGGAAAATTTCAGCGGGTCTTCAATCATTTCTATAACGTTGCATTGGTGTGCTTTGCATCGATGAGCTTTATGAATATTGTAATGGTATTGAATGAGCCAGATCACACGTGTCGTGTCCCAGGACATGAGAAATATAATATAAGTAGCAATGAGTGGATGGACTTGATGATTCCATGGTACGTAGAAATTATTTTTTATTGGAATTTATTTATAGGAAATTTGTTTGAGAGAATTAAGTGAGCTGAAGTGGTCCGGTGACTTAGAGGTATAGTTTTTAGGTTTGTAACTTTTAAGCTATCGAATCTGCGGTCATGGGTTCGAGACTAGGCATGTAAGAATTTTATTTATTGCTTTTTCAAGTTGACTTATATTGTCTTGAAAACTTTTGGATAAGCTCTGGTTTGGAGAAATGACAAAAATGTCCAGTTTGAGACTCCTTAATAGATCTTAGAATTAAAATTCAGATGAACTGTAAGAAAAGGCCCTGATCCCAGTTCTTAGTCGCCTCTAACAACACTGAACCCGCCTCATAAAGATTACTTTATGTATTTAATCAATTTGAAGTGTTTCACAGCAGCAAACTTGATACGACTCAGAAACTGGATTGCTTATGTACAAATCAATCAATACGCAATATCAAAGATGAGTTATTAAGTCAGCTGTAATAAAACTTTGTTTCTATATTCTTCTAATTAATTGTTATCAATTAAGAAATTGTTTTTAAAGAATAAGGTCAGGAAATGCGGAACAGCATTAATTAGAAGTGAATTTTTTGATTGTTTTGTTGTGAAATTCAATTCAAAAATTTAATTACAGACAAATTAATTCAAAAATTACTTAAAAACATGTAAACAATTTGTGTTAGAAGTAAGGAAGGAAGGCAAAGCATACCAAAAAGCGCAAAATCAAAACATCCAACAAAACAAAGAAAGAATTCAATAATACTCCTAGCCATCAATTCCATTCAAATTAGTCTTCATTCAAGCTCTGAAACTCTTCATCGATATCTAAATTCATAAAATTCTATGTCTTTTCAACAGGGAGACAGACAATCGTGGCATTTTAACAAAAAGTGGCTGCAACATGTACAATACATCAGCATATGAACATCTACCAATATCCGAATGGAATTTTACAAAAAGCGATGAAATTTGTAAGTCCTAGATATTTTTCATATTATCATCTCTACCTTTTTCATCCACATTCTCTTTACAGCATGTGTTCATGGTTACGAGTACAATAAAACTTGGTATGAGCGAACAACTGTGTCAGATCAAGATTGGATATGTGAGAAGGCACTTTATCAAACAAATGTTTTTGTCTGGCATCGTGTTGGTGAAGTTGTTGGGACATTTTTGTTCGGGCAGCTTGGTGATACGTATGTCTCTCAAATATTTCTTATTATCTTTTTGTCAATTTTACGAGTGCCTTTTGGCGCATTTTTTTGTTGGAATTTGTGAATGCGTGCAACTGTCAGTTTGGCTGATGGGATGTAACGATTGGTTCAGGTGATTTTTGAATTTGATGACTTAAAACTCCTACAAATGCAATTGAATCAGGTCAAAAAATCTCCAAGCAGAAGCAAAATCCAGCCAAAAAATGCTCTCTAGCACTTCAACAACCCATATAATTTCCCTACTTACCTAATCTTCAACATTCCCCCTTCAAAAACAGTATCGGTCGACGTCCAGTCTTTTACATAAGTGTGATAATAATAATTTTGGGTCGAATTATGACAACACTGACTGCATCAAATTATCTTCTATATGCCATTGCGTCACTTATCTCATTGCTTACAAGCATGTCAATATTCCTTAGTCCATTGATTATAGCAATGGAAACATCAAAAGAAGAAGATCGAGGAAAAATTGCCATGTTACAATGTGTTGGATGGACGATAGGCATTAGTATAATGCCATTAGTATTTTGGGTTGTAAGAGATTGGGTATGGTTCTTAATGATAACAACATTACCAATTGGCCTTTTTGCACTTTATCCAAAATACATGATTGAATCTCCTCGATGGTTAGCCACAAAAAGACATCTCGCAAGATGTGCAAATGAGCTCAATAAAATTGCCAAAATAAATGGCAAGAAGATTGAAATAACGGAAAAAATGCTTACCGAGATGCTGCCTGATGAGAAAGTTGAAGATGTTTTTGGAATTGCTTCGCTGTTTACTGGATGGCGCTTAGCTAAAAACACAGTTTTGATTGTAATTTGTTGGACAAATGTGTCAATTGTTTATTATGTTTTGATTCTTAACTCAACTAGGATGGGCGGAAATCCATTTTTGAGTTTTCTATACCAAAGTGCTATTGAATTGCCTGGTGAGTAAATACAGCCCTTAGCTTCACAACAGTAAATAGCAATTAAAATCCACTTTCAGCCTTTATTTTCGGACGATGGATGAGCGACAGAATAGGACGACGATTCAGCAATGCAATTGCATTTCTAGCAATGTCAATTGCTTGTGTACCTGCTGCAATGGCCGCCAGAAATATAGAAGATGAACACATTCTAACAATGATTGTTGTTTTTATTAAATTCTGTACAAGCATCACATTCTTTGCTGTTAACTTACAATCAATGGAAGTTTATCCAACATGTTTACGACAGTCAGGCATAGCAGTTGGTAGTATTATTGGAAATTCACTTGCTGTTTGTGGACCTTATATTGTCTATGTCGGAACTGAATATGATGTACGCTATACTTACTTTATATTAGGTATGCATCCATTCATTTTATCATTCTTGTTTTATTGAATTTCTCATGAAAATAAATTAAAAAATTCCTAGGCGGATTATGTTTTATGGGCTTTTGTTCTGCAATGTTTTTGCCTGAAACATTGCATCACCAACTTCCGAATACGTTGCATGAGGCGAAGAAATTTGGCAAAACTCAGGTATGATCCTGTTCATTTGTGTCTGTTGATTTATGAGCTTTAATGAATAAATATTTTTATAGAAATTCTGGACATTACCGAAGAAGCCTCAACCAGTGCATGAGGAAGAATTGGAATCTCTTGCAAAACTTAATAATAATAATCAGCAGAAGGTGAAAGTGTGATGATGAATGGGAAGTTTATAAGTATTTTTTTGTAGGATTGTAAATTTAGTTGAAATAAAAAAATATATTTTTTTAACTGACTTTAGTATTGATTTGGAGTTTGGGATGGGCAAGTAACTTAGTTGCTGATTCTAGTGAAACTTAAATAATGACCTCAAAAACACTAGATAGGATTGAATTAAAGGAATTTATGTTTAAACTTAGCAACGATAGAATGTAGGATGCAGTGTCTGAGTAGAGTGGAATCTAGTAAAATCAGTCAAGTGGCATGTTTGCCAGGCAGCCTACTAAGGCAAAAGCAATACTGTAGGCCAAGCGGTTAAGCAACGGACCAGTAAGCTTCACGGAAATCTGTAAGGACGTGGGTTCAATTCTCAAAAAATAAAATTCAGACTTGTGACTTGTTTTGATATTAAATGGATTTGCACAATTCTAATAGCATCACTGCCCTAGTAACCAAAATGTTCCATATAATCTTCCTTCGACGTCGATGGAAGATCAAATGTATCATTATTTATTATATGTAAAATGTTTGTTTTACAAATATGTAACAGAAGTGTTCCATCGAAGTATTACCCGAGCCTGCTTAGGATCAAATCCTATGAAATATCATCAAAAAATTTTTTTTTGCAGGAAAATAATATTTGTTCTAAATTTGGCATTTGCCATATACTTCACAATTGCTCGAAGAAATCACTATTATAAGTTCTCTCTAAATTTGTAAGGGGCTTTTAATTAATTATTTATCTTCCTCAGGTTTATGTGCGAGTCTTGGTCGTTCATCAGTATGCGACTTAATTAAATTAAGTCCTTTTGTTCTTTTTCGTAGTGTTAGTGTACTTTAATTAAGTACACACTAATACTTTTACAAAAAATTACACAAATAAATGAAAAATACAAAATAACACGTGGAATTTAACACGTGTTTTATTCAAAAAAAAGTAATCCATTTGTTTTCCATTTGTATTCCTTTGATGTATTACATTGATGTCTTATTGCATTGTCCATTTATCTTCCATTTTCATAGGACATCATCTTCCGATGGATAATACATGGATAATACATATGTATCATCCATGGAAGATTCTCATGGAATACATTGATCTACCTTTTGGTTACTAGGGTGAAGATGCGGACTAGACGACACCCTCCATCCCCTCTCGCTTCACAAGAAACTTCCACGTGTAGCATCACCAAAATGACATTAATCTTATTTTAAAAGATTATAAAAATCCGACAGTGAGTCCGGAAAGTTCAAAAATTTCCCATCAGACTTGACTTTATCCTTTTATTAAGTTCCAAATAATAAAGAACATTTTAATGTTATTCATCAAAAATTCAAGCCTACAATTTCCATAAAGCATTTCATAAAATATCCACATGTACTTAAAATCCAAAGAGACACTGTGAGTAATAAATCCCAGCATTTACATTTTAACAAAGTGACTTTAAGCCCCCCTTTTCAAACAGAAGCTTAGTATATAATGCAATTCAGCTTGTTTGTGTAAAAGATGAGTATTATACGACAATCTGTTACAACTTATAGCATCTTCTTGACTCTTAATTTTCCAATTTCCTTCCTTTATTCAATGAGCTGATACCTACTATGGAGAAAAAAATAGAGAATGAAAAATGATGAAAATGTAGCGGAGAAAATGAAACAACATAATTTATGGTTTATTGAACTGAGTCTTAATCATTCTTAGCAACAATTTCATATAATTTATTTTTCTGTGATATCAGCCGCATCCATTCTATTTGCTCAGCACCTTTTGAAATGCTAGTTTTTGCTTGGATAGTGTAGAATTTGGAAATGCAGTTTGGGGGTCCTTTTGAAGATAGAGTGGCTGGTATTTAGGTTAGATCTAACTCTATTTGATTCAAGGCAGGGCAATCTATCAAAGTTTTGAGCATAGGACATAGATACTCTGCTTACAACTTCATTTATGTAGATTGCAAGCATCAATTTAATTTAAGTATGCGATCAAACCTTTGTAGACTTAATTCTCAATCTGGAATTCATAAACCGATATGCAGGAGCTACTGACCGTCAGTTCCGTTTTTAACAGAAGCTTAATCCTTCAGAAACTGCGCCTTAACCTCATCCTATGATCATCCATTGAACTAATTTCCTCTAACTTACCCAACATCTTCTTATTCTCATTTTGTTATGTCACCAAGCAATTTCCGATATAATTCTTTTGCCATTTTTTTATACTCAATGCCTCTCTCCCATCATACTTCCTACTTAATGTATAAATATATTGTGTGTATGCCTTGAAACGACACAAAATATGAGCATTGCATTTATTATTTTTATTGTCGCTAAAGTTTATGCTTTTCCTGTCGTTTCTCTTTTCCTTTTTTTTTTTGCTGTATATGTACACATTTATATCCTTAGGTGATATAGAACTTTCTACTGAAGTGCTCGCTTATATAGCGCGACGAGAAATAAAAATCGCTGTTTCGTACACATTTTGTCATCATCAATTATTTAAACAACTCATTGTATGCTTCGAAACGGTGAAAGAGTAGGCATAAATTTATTTTCGCTTCGTTTAGGCCTTAAGGGTCTTCAGGACGAGGGCTTGTAAGGAGCATTAGAATCAATGAAAAAAATTGGGGTTGAGTATCAAAAATCGCATGAAAGAAAATTGAAGTTTTTGTACCACAATTGACAGAATGATTCATACAAATGAAAATTAGCACGTGTAAGGATGTGTTTCTAGCGAAATAGGAAAAATTGCGCATTTGTTGATTGTTGTTTACTAAATTTTTGTTTATTTGCCAAAACGTAATTTAAATTATGAATAATTCTGGGTATAGCTTTTAATTTCATAAATGTCACTCTACCCCCTCATTTGAGCAAGGTTCCAAGCAACGATTGTACAATTCTGTCTGACAGAAGCAAAGCCAGGGTAGGATAAGTCTTATAAAGTCCAGGACAACGTCTTTCTTTGCCTACAATATAAAATCTTCCTTCATGAGCATCATAAGTCTCAAATTTAAACTTTAGTGCCTTATAAATTTTTCCGTTCCTTTAGAACAAATCGACAAGCCGAAATTCTTGATGGAAGCCCATAACTGACTCATTACGTCCCATTGTAACTCCAATTTTGACATTAAGACAAAACATATTTAGTCAACACACCCCCATCTCAAGTCTCGGCAACAAAAAGTTCCATCTCGAAAAAAAGAAAGAGAAATGAGAGCCAAAAATATGAAAGTCAAATCATGAAGTGTTGCTTCGCCATATTTCATCAACATGACAACAACAAAAAGTGCTTTTTTATCGTCGAGATATAAATTTATTATTTAGCTTGAACTCACTTTATTTTTGCCGGTATTATGATCGCAGATGAGGAAAGAAGGCAAAGCAAAAAAAAAGTTTCTTTTTTGTACAATTGCTATTGTTGCTGAATATTTGATACGCAAAAAAAAAGTAGAAGTGATGGAAATGACTTTCTATGAAAAAGTGCTAAGTGCTTGAGGTAGATACTTCTGTTAAAAATACATCTGTACAAATATACAGAGCTTTCAAGGTAGAACATTTAAACATCACAATCAGGAGGTTGAATGTGTTTACTCGTGCAAAATATGGAAAGCATGTTTCCTAGAAGATACACAAATAAATGAATGATGAAAGGAATTTTTTTTATGATGAACATTTTCTTTGCCTTTCATATTTCTATTAGGAATTTATGATCGTTTTTGTCTGTTATGTATGATTGAGCTTGGTTAAATAATGAAATTCTTGAGAGCTTGTTTTGTTCTATTCTGTTTGTTGCACTCTTATTTAGATGGATGAAGAGTTGACAAATTGAATTGAAGGATGCAAATAATCAAATAAAGAGACTGAATGAGAAGGACTGCATTACTTTATTATCCTTAGTCCGTAAAACCACCGCTCTGTTACCGAAGCTACAACTATTGTCACTTGACTTCTTTTACATTTAATCTTGCAGAAACTTTAAAAACTAAGAAAGTTCTAAATTGAATTTTTAAAAATTTTAAAATCACAAAACTTTATGATTAATGTTCCTTCATAATGACCAGATATTTATTCGAGCTTAAAAATTATTCATCCTAACATTCCAAAAAAAAAAATAATAATTTCGGAAGTGAAATTTTCTTACAAAATATTTCACAGTCAATGAATAAAACAGCAAACTTTTTCACACAAAAATCTCTGCAAGCGCTGCCAGTGAGAAAGAAAAATTAGCGTCAAGAAGAAAGTTCTCACAAGTCAGAGAATTAAACTCGTAAAAAAAAGTCTTCCAGAAGTGCAAAAAGTCATAAAAATCTGTCACGATGCGAACATAAAATGTCATTTCTTCATTTTGCTGAATGCGATTTTCATGACAAATGAAAATGAGAGCATTTTAATGCACATTTGGGACTTTATGATAATGAAAAAAAAAAGTTTTTTTTATTCTGTTTTTCCAGACTTGAAGGTATAAAGTTTCAAGTGACGGTCCACCTTGCAATTCATTTAAACTTTTAACCAAGTTGGATCGAGCAATAAAAATTATATTTTTGAACTTCCTTTTTTTTCCTTCTGTTGGATACAGAAACAGTCACATCTATGACATGTTTACGATCTGCAAACTTCCTCCTGTGATTTCCTTGTTGACAATGCACGACAAATCGCAAACATCCTTCGTCATTTTCTTTCTCTCTCTCACACTCGTCAAAACTCATCGCATTTGCAGTTTATTTTAAGCTGTTTTTGCTGTATTTTGTGACTGAAGGATGAGACATTTTTGTGGCGAGACTTTTTTTTCAGAGATTGGTGGGAATTGTCATTAATTTTAATTTCGAAGAATAAGATTGATGTTGTTTTGAGGAATGAAAAATAATTTGGTTTAAGGTTGAGTTGCATCAATCTGGGAAAGGGTAAGCAGGATGTGTAGCTGTATAGGCACTAAAAACCGCAGATTGCTTTTATAAGTTGACATTCTGCCAAGCTTCTCAGAAACTCTCGATTGTATCAAAGCTGAAGAAGAAAATGCATCAAAAAGACATTAGAGTTCGAGGTTCGATTCTTACTCAGAACTTTTTAATTGATTTTATAAGTTGGACACTTGGAATTGGTTTCTAGAGCAACCTGGGGTACCCTATCGCTGTAAATAGAGTTGGATGTTCAGAGTAGCTTTAAAATCAGCCACTGAAGACGGTTTCTCGTTCTATTCTTGTATTTATCCTGGTATGGCAGGTTTTACCCTAGAAATTGAACACTGTAAAATAATCTTGAGGCTCAGCTGGTCTCATGTCGCAAAGTTTGAGAACCACTGGAACATCTTAAAAATTTATTAAACCTGCATCAAACCAACATTTGTAATAAATATTCAGTTATTCTAATTAAAGCAATTTTTAAATCTCCAACACAAAAGCTTGTATCAACCACAAAATTCATATTTTTCTATGTGCTATATATTCCTTTAACTCTATCAATAGCAATATCAAATTGCTGTTGCTGCAAAATAAAATTCACGCTTCTGAAAGCAAACATTTTTTTCATGTTCATATTCATTCTTTTGTATTCAGCGTGGACAAAAAAAAAGTTCTCGCTCTAAAATTTCCATCAATTATTTGAATAAAGAGGAGAGAAAAATGTCAGCTCATAGAGAAGTTTTTGATATTTTAGCCATTTGTGCGACATAAAAAAAAAATCTGAACGCAAAAAAAAATTTAAATTTCAATACAGGAAGAAATAAAATTTACGAGTAGCGGATTGAAAATGTATGGAATGAAAATTGAACAAACATTTGAGGAACTAGTTTGAAAGATTATTTGGTGCTGTTTGACAAAGAAGGTCTTAGCCTGAGATAAGGTCATTGACCTTATTTCCTACTTTTTCTTTTCTGTTAAATATCTTAGAAATCAAATTTTGAAATGTAACGGATAAAAAAAATTCAAATATTTCAAAAAAGTTTCTTGAATTTTTAAAAATCGTTATTTTTTTCAATTTTAAAGTCGTTATTTTTTTCAATTTTAAAATCGTTAGTTTTTACCTACAGAACTCATTCATCCATCCACAATTCCCATCAATTAACCACCCCAAAAAAATCAATTTAAATTATTTGGACAATTTAAATCCTTATTGCTACATGTCCATCACACATCTCAGCTACATTTAGTTGAGTATATCATATATTCTACACATATTCGTTATGCTGCAATACATTTTCGAAAAACAAAATGTCCTGTTTTTTGGTATTTTATTGCAATTGACGGGAAAAATAAATACACAAAAAAATGCAAAATGAAAATTCAATTTTTAAGCCAATAGAACTTTGTCGGATATTTTTTTGTGGATTGAAAAAAAAGTTTCGAGTTTTAAATTGGAAGTGGAAATAAAATCGTTTTCGGATGTGTTGTAGATTTTTGTGTGCATTAATTAAGAATCTATGGAGGTTTTGGATTGAAATAAAAAATTCAAAATTGATTTTTATTGGAATTTTATTGTAAATTTGTTTTGTTTTATGGTAAAAAATGGATATTTTAGAAGTTGAACAGCCTTTAAAAATATTGTGTAAGGTATCGGTACTTATAATCACTTGACGGCTTAGTAGAATTTTAAACAGTGCAATTTAGAACTTTGAGGAGGATTTTTGGTTCTAAATAGGGTGTAGTCAGTGTCTAGGGCCCTCATAGGCTTGGTCTCAATTTGCATGTCTATAATCCTGGTCAACAATTTTTAATTTACAACAAAAAAGACGAAAATTCATTATTTTATGCTATAGAATAAATGAACCCCTCCCCCCCTTCCCCTCCTCCTCCCCCCAACACTTAAAATGCTTAATTAAAAGATTTAAAAAAATAAAATTAAATTCCCTCAAAAATCTCACATCAATCTCAATAAAACCAGCACACAGACAACAACCAACACCAAAATACAAGCACTTCCGCTTGCCTTATCACTCTCATCACTAAAATCTCTTCCCCATATCCCAAAAGTCAATAAATTGTCAACATCCTTGTTCAACTTCATTACAACATTAATTCCATCCTTACGTCCACTTACCACATTATATTCAAACAACTCAGGCTGAAGTGGCAGAATATTGTCATCGAGTGTCGATGGCATGTAAAAATATTGATCATTTCTCATTGGAAATTCACCATTAATTTCAATCAAATTCCATTCATGAATATTTTCTAAGCTTTCATCGCGCGTTCCACACGAGGCGATATCCCTTCGGGGACATCCAATTATTGCACATGCAGCAACGCCAGTTTCAACTATACCTGAAAATGTTCTATTTCCAAAATAGAATGCAATTGCATATTGATAGTGTGGTTTAGTTGCTGAATTTTTGATTGTATAATTAACTTTGATATCGCAGCATAGAGTATTGTTGCAGATATTTTTAGTGATGAAATACAGTCCATCGGTATCATTTAGGAATTGTATGTCATAAACGTCTAATTGATCTCGCCATATATCGAGTGATTTCATCTCATCTTTTGTGTATCGTGTGAGTTTGTGCTCAATTTTAATTGCCTCATTTTGAAGTATTTTCTTGTGGACTTTTGCTGTGTACAGTTTTGATTTATTTATTGAACTCATTTCTGCGATGTATGCACCTGGAATTTATAGATATTTTAAGGATTTGTTACTTTATTGTGAGCATTGACAGGAGGTTCGAGTGGCCTGAGGTGTATCCAGGTCAAGTTTGAATCCCCTTAGACTCTTTTGGCTACATCATTGCCTCGATAAAAGACTCAACTACATACTCGACTCTCCGTCATCGAAACTCATGTCTTCTGGACCCTTCTTTACTCCCCCTTAAGCATAACAAACCTTTATTCCCACCATAAATTCCACTTCCAGTCGATGCAACTCTAGGAAAATTAGCACCAGCAGCCAATAAATTCACATCCAACGAATGAGCCCAATATTGTTGAACTTGAACAGCAGTTAAGAATGGAAGTTCAGAGAACCATTTGGATGTGAATATAATGTCAGTAACTTTATGAGCTCTAACAAGTTCAACAGCTGGATACCGAAAGTGCATATCGAAGCATATAAAATGTCCAAAAGTAACACCAAAATCAGTGTCAAAAGTCACAAGAGCTGGCTTGTGTGGCTTATCAAGTCCCTCGCCAAACAAATGATATTTTCTATAGCTTGAAATAATGACACCGACACGATTAAAGACAATATTTGTGTTATAGTAACTAAAGCCATCTCTTGTGTCATCACAATTTCTCGGATCATCATTTAATATCATTTCGGTGTCTGGACATTTTGCTTTCGTAATGACATTGATGACAACATAACGATTATGTTCTTGTGCTGAACATGAAATCAACTTTAATAAATTATTATTCACATAATTTGGATTAATACATGGTGCGATTTCATCCTCAGACTCGAGAATTTCTGTTGCTGTTAATATCGTGTTAAGTGTGCCTTCTGGAAACACAATAATGTCTAGCGATGATGAAGCATCATTCATAAATTCTATATACTGCTTTAAATTCACATCCAACATTTGCTGTGATGTCATGTTGACTAGACTTCCGTAATTGAACTCAACAACACCCGCTTCATATGTTGTACTTGATGGTGTTGATGCCTTAAAGGAGTGGAATGAGTGAGAATTATTAAAATTTTGAAGGATTTGTAAAATGTGTAAAAAAATACAGAGTTCAAGGGACTTTGGTGAGTGATTCGAGGGACGTTCATAAATGATGTCCAACATTTAGAAGGTTTAGACAAGAAAGGATTCGATTCTTTTTAGTTTTCGTATCTAAACCAATCCTGAGAGTCAGGATACAGATTTTCAAGATTCATTTGAATAAATTTTCAGCAGCAAGATTGAATTAAGTTCCATTAAAGCTCAACTTTAGTTCTCATAGTTGAATCAGTTTCTTATTAATTAAAGTTTACCTGAAGCGAGGCACGAGCAAAAATTAACAACAGCATTTTAATAATCATGATAAGATGCTTAACAGAGCACAGCTGAAAAATGACTGGAAGCATTTTGTAGTACCTGTTAATAGATAAGAAACTTTCCAATGTGTTACAGTTTGTATACAGACAGTAAATGGATTTTCCTTGTATTAAGTTTACTGTTGTTATAGATACATACTTACTAGATTTAATTATCAATCCACTCAAAATATTTTTATATTTTTAAAATCAGATAATCCATGGTCGATATCAACCTCGAGTGCCTAGCACTTTATTTCATAAAAATCATGGCTTTTAACTCAATACAAAGCATCCCTTATAACTACATCAGTAATCGCAATGTCAATATTCACAGAAAAAATATCGCAAAAATTGATTCAAAAAGCTTTTTATTGCCTGCATTTTTTTATCCTCCCTCCGACATCACCAAAAGCATTTCCTCTTTGTGGTTGATATTCAGTGAAAATTAAATTAAAAGGCATCGCATTAATTCATTTACATTTTTAATAAATTCAGCTTGTGTGTTGCATAAAGTGCTTTTTGTTTGTGGATTATTGTTGGGTGAGTTTTGACTTTGGCTGCATGTTTTGAGTCGAGATTTAAGTTTTATTTGATCTTTGAAGGTTGCTTGAAACAGACTAAGTCTCTGCTGCGATTTCAACAATGCGACGTTTCGTGAATAATAAATGTCTTCTAGGCTAATAGGGACTATAAAGTGGTAGACAGATTCAATCAGATGAGACAATTGTTTAAAATTGATTTATTTGAACCTTGGAGATACCCTCTAGAGCCAGACTAAGCTTCATCCTTATCTCAAGATCAGAAATCACTCAGTAAAAATGAGCAACAGAATAACAGCAAGAAATCTCTCACATAACCATGCATTCTCTACTCATCCCTGATAATCTCATCACAAAGTAATTTTAATGCTGCACGATATGAGCAGTAGTTGGAAAAAAACTGGTAAGGCAGGAAAAATAATCAAAACAGTTAATTGGATAATAAGCAAAGAATAAACAGAAAAAGAGCATGAAAATTGTGAAAGCACTGCTAATGCACATCTCATTAATTATTTTTTAATTTAATTTATTTTCATCCTAGTCATCGTGATTCCTCTTTTTAATTCGCAACAGTGAACTTTTTAGCTTTTCATTTTCATTTCGATCTGCAGCATCCAAATGTGCATTTAAAATGGATATAAAAAAATTCTTTCATCTTAATTAAAATTAATTTGCTCTCATTACATTTTATAATGACGATGATAAATTGGATCTTAATTCTTTATGATAGCATTCTGAGCTTGATTGGTATTTTTTTTTTCTCTTTTGGCATTCCTTTTTTTGATCAAAAGAATGTTAAAATGTAAAATTAAGTTTCTTTGAGATGAATATTTGCAGCTTTTTGATTGATTGAGCATGAAATTGATGAGAAAATTATCAGTTTTAGTATTTTGTGGGTTAAAGTTACTGGTGCTGGTGCTTACCTTAAGGATTTTGGCGCAGCTAAGTTATCGTCACCCCAACTGAAATTTAATAATTGTGAGTCGCAATACCTTGGAATTGGAACACCCCACCCCCCCCCCCCCCCCCTCTTACAACCATTGCTTCTCTACTCCTTAGGTTCATCTAACAATCCAACTCATTGGATAATCTTAAAATGTTAATTCACATCGCAAGAAATGCCTTGAAAGTATTCAACTCGACAGCATGCAACATCACAAAATTCAAGAACACGACAAAAATGCAAATGAGACAAAAAAGTAAACAAATTTTTCAAAAATAAAAATCTTCTTCAAAAATCTTTCCATAAATTTCCCAAAGTAAATGAATAAATCTTTCATGAAACTTCACACAACATTGTAAGCGACTCACAGGCAGACAGATAAGTATAAAACAGTAAGTAAATTTTGTTTCACACAAATACCTTTCAGATTATTTTCTGACATAAATTTCTTAAAATGACAAAGTTTAAAAAGCAAGGGAATAAAGAGGGTGAAGAAAGGAGGGCAAACTTGGGGGTTAAATTGCAAATTTATAATCGCTTCAGCAATTAATTTCGTCTGAGACACAAGTGTTTTGCATGAGCGTGTGTCAATGGGAAAATTTTTTTGATTAAATTTTGATAAATTTTAAATTAAAAAATTAAAATTTAAAAAAAAAATTGAAAAATTCCAAAAAAATCAAAATTTAAAAAATATTAAAAATTCAAGAAATCAAAATTCCGAAAAATTCTAAATTCCAAAAAAAATCAAAAATTGTGTGTACGAGTCAATTATAAAAGATTTATTCTAGAATCCATAATTTTAAATTTACCCAAAAAAAAATCCAAAAATAAAATTGCGCTCAAAAAAATTAAATTATCATTAAAACCTTCCAATCTACAACTTTTTGCATTTCTTTCATCCTCCTCTAAAGCACTCCTCCTCCCTAAAAAAGAAGTCAAATATACACATGACAAAGTTTTTAATGTTTACATGCAATCACAGCATCGAGTGTGAGACATGAAAAATTCAAGACAGAAAGAAAACAAACTTCATCATGCATCGACGATGCTTCTTATTTTTTACGTAAAAACAGAGAGAAAAATGTTTGTTTATCAATTAATGGCGCCTTAGACAAAATCATAAGCAAATACTCAACATGCAGAGCATAGATGCATAAAGTTAAATTGCTTGATGAAAACTTTTTTTTAATGAACTAGAGCTTTTATGTCAAATGATTAAGTGATGGAATTGAAATGAGGATGTTTTAAGGAAGATTGAGGTTAAATCTGATCAAATTTATGATTTGGAGAGTCAATTTTAAGTGGCAAAGGGTCTTGAGCCGCTATTTAGGAATACCATAAGTACCTAACTATAGGAATGTGGTTTAATATACCGCAATGTGGGATTTATGAAATTTATTTGCCATTAGGGGACGTCGTTGGATGTTGCTCTTGAAAGGACCAACAATTCAAAATAAAGGGGCCTAAAATAATAATTAATACTTTGCTGACCTCGAGCTGACTATTCAAGTCTCAATAAACCTCTTTTTTCCAACCCTGAAGTCATTGACACTTCATAATTGACTTCACATCATAAAAGCATTCGAATTTCTCATTTAAAACATCTTTTCCACCATCCAAAAATTAAGTAAATGAATGAACAGCGATAAAAATCAGACGACGATGCGTAATTCTTGTATTTTTTACACAATAGAAAAGGTTTTTTGAAATAAATTTTTCTTGTTTGTCTTGAAATAAAAATGAACGAATTTCTAAATTCTATGGAAGTAGAAGAAATTCAGGAATAACTTATATTGTTGTTCTGATAGCAATTTTCAAGGAGATTGATATTGACTTTTTATACAAAAACTTAGTACTTAAATTAAAGTAAATGTTGTAAAGTATGCAGCATAAAACTCAGTTTTTATCATAAATTGAAGAAGTCAAACAGAAACTTTTTGTTGAGATTCATCAAAAAAAAAAAATCAAACAGAATTTAATAATTTTATATTCTACCAATAAAATTGATTGCAACTTAGTTTGAGGAACAAACTGGACATCAAAAATGGAAATTTATTATCATGGAAATCCTGATGCATTCATAAATAACTTTTTATGTTTGACTTTATTCCTCGGAAGCTTTGAAACAAGTCAAGTTTGAGATAAGATTTTTAAACTAATCAAAAAAGTTTAATAATTCTTTTAAACCCGAGCAGTAATATTTTTTGGAGTAGCTAGAAAAAGCTTTGGTATTGCCAGTGGCACCATCAGGACCAACTAGAAGCTACCACAGTTCTGTTGAATTTAAAAACCATAAAATTCAAAATTCCACCAAGAATATTTGAACTAAGTTGATGAAAATAACTTTAATATACAGCTAAGACAGGAACAAGTCAAATTTAGAACTTCCAAAAAATTTCCTCAAAATAAAATTATTTTTATACCTCCTCAACAACAATTTCCAAAAGACTGATAAAATATTGACACAAAAATCTTCTTCGGAAATCCTTCAATCAAAAAATTTCTTTTTAAAAAAAAAGTTTCTCGTTCTGCTTCCTTCACATCCATTTTTCCATCTCATAAAATATTTTCTTCTTCTTGTTGAAGTTTTAACAAGCACGAAAGTGAATCTCTTCTGTAAAAGGACATAATTTTTATCATTGGCCAATATTTTACAGATTCTCGAAAGTGAGCACAACCGTGTAATCAAATTCGACGAAAAAGGAAACTTTTTTGAAGTTTTAAGGACATTGTCACTGTATGCGTGTCAATATTTAACTGTTGATGGTAAAATAAGAACAGCGAATGAAGGAGAAGAATTTTTAAACAGCGACGATTGTTGGAAAAAGATTGAAATTGAGAATATTTTAAGGAATTCTTCTTTAAAGCGCATATTACATTTACTAGGTACAGGAAGCATACAACCAGGGGTTTAGAAGAGTCTAGTCTAGTATAAGAGAGAGAGAGATGAAGTTATAGCTGAACACTAAGTCTTAGAGCCATCGCTGCTTATTCTATAAAAACTCAGTTTTTTTTATCAATTTTACAATAAAAACTCCTTCATAAAGTTACTATTCCATTATCATCAATTTCTATTACCTTACAATTTACAACCCACAGTGGACAAATAGATAATTTAACCAAAAATCCACATCTCGACCCAGAAAAATCTAAAAATGTGTCAAAATGAAAGACAAAACTTTTTCCATCAATGGCAAAAAATTGATTAAACTTTTTTTTTTATTTTGTCACTGTTTTACTTTCATTCTCTTGCTGTTGCTCTATCCATTGATGCTCTTTTCTAGGGTGACCATCTGCGTAGTTTTACAACGGACAGTCCTGTATTTCAAAACCCTGTCCTGTATAAATTTTTAAATTTTGTTCCTGGTCCTGTATTTTTTTCATGAAAATTTACGTTAATTTTCGAATTTTACTCTATGTCCTGTTTTTTTCGAAAAAATTTACCAAATGTCCTGTATTTTCATGAAAACTAGATGGTAACCCTACTCTTTTCTCACTTTCATTTTGTTGATCATGGTTATTTTAATAATTCCTCTT